CAAAGCCACGATGCCACCTTGAGGAGGACCATGTGCCTGACCCAAGCGTCCCCTCATAAGCACGTGCAGGCTGGACAACCGAGGACGACCGAAGGACAATGATGCCTTTGGATGACGGTGCTGGCTAGGAACCTGACATATACCGTGGGCTGCCAGAAGAAAGGGCAAGCCATTCTTGGAAGTGTTGCCATCAGAACATCCCTTCGGAGTGAGGATGGTGAGCCTTCTTCTCCTGTGCTTTGGACACGTCGTCAGGAGGGGCCAGCCTCTGAAGGGAAAGGTCGAGACAGGTTGGGTTCTCTAGAGACCGGTTTGCTTCTAGAGAAGCAAAAACCAATAACACCTGTGTGTGTGTACATGCACAACCAAAAAACCAAACTCACTGCCATAGAGTCCAGGCTGACTCATAATAGCACTCCTCCCACCCCCTGCCATGGGTTTCTGAGACTGTAACTGTTTGCGGATGTCGAAAGCCTCATCTTTCTCCCTCAGAGCAGTTGGTGGTTTCAAACCTCTGATCACATGTATCGCAGTCCAACACGAAATCACTATACCACCAGGGCTCCTACTGTGTACGTACATAGATAGATAGATAGATAGAGTCCTCTTTGTTTGAAATCTGGTCTGATGGTAAACTGGAGGCTTATCCTGACTCATGTTAGTGCAGGGGCTGATGAACCAGGAAGCAGGAAGACAAAGGAGGAAGACCACAGGCTGGTGGATGCAGAGTCAAATGAATCCAAGGAGGCTGGTGGATGCAGAGTCAAACGAATCCAAGGTTGGCAGTCCTCAGATGACTCCTGGGATCGGCAGGCCACATGACAGGAGGTCAAGGAACCAGATGCAGGATCCAGCTCTGACAGAAGTAACGTTTCCCAGAGTCTGTTTAAAAAGGAGCAGGCCACAACCCTGAGCCTCAAGGCTGGGCCCTAACCAAGAAGGCTCCACTCTACCACAACTGCTGGCTGCTCACAAAGTGTCCGTTGTGTTAGATCCCATCATGAAAGATTAATGCCACGCCACTGAGAACCCTGGCACAGCCAAGTTACCCCCAAAGCTAACTATCGCAAGCATTATGGCTGTTAAAGTAGACAGCCATCCTCAATGAGAAGGATTGGAACAGTGGCTTCAACAACAGACTCCAGCATGGTAATCAGGGTGAGTCCACAAATAGAACTGTAATCTTTACACTTGGCTGTAAGCCTTACGGAAGCCCATCAGCAGATCTTTCTTCATGGCATTGCTGGCTGGGCTCAAACAGTTGTGCTCTGGGTTAAGAGCTGTCTGCAAACCATCTGGGCCCTCTGAGCAAGTGGATTAAAAACAGAAACAAAACCAAAACTCACTGCCACCGATTCAATTTCTACTCACAGTGACCTTATAGGATAGGGTAGAACTGCTCTTGTGGGTTTTGGAGACTGTAACTCTGAGGTTAGAAAGGCTCATCTTTTTCCCAGGGTGCAGCTTGTGGTTTGGAACCACACCTTGTTCGCTGCCTGTGTTAGTCTAGGTACTTTGGGGAAACAAATCCACAGCAACTCATGTATAAGAGAGAGTTTTATGTAAAGAAAACATGCATCACGAAAACATCCCAACCCAATGCTGCCCAAGCCCACAAGTCCAACATTAACCCATTAACCCAACACCAGTCCACAAAGTCCTCCACCTCACAAAACAGAGGCAATGATGCCGACTGCAGGAGGAAAGCTGAGTCAGTGAATGAACAAGCATCTCAGCACTAGCAAGGGTCTCCACACGGTTGCTCCAGCACCCAGGGCTGCATCGGGATAGGTCCACATAGCTTCTCCTTGGGGATGTGTTGTAGGAAGTCAATCTTGCAAGCTGAAGCAGGGAACTGCTAAGGCAGCTGCACCCAGTGCAACCATCACAAAACAAGAGACCCGAGAACTAGAAAGGCGAGGCTCACCACCCATTTATCCCTCCGCCTTTCAATTAGCCCCACATGTGATTATCAGCCAGGCTGGCACAATTAACTAACTCACTGCCTAAAGTATAACCGTTTAACTAGACGAACCAGTTAAGACAGACCAGTCCCCTTTAGGGTCCTTCTATGCCCACTACATCTCAGTAGGCTCAAACCCTTAGAAATCACAAGACTGAAAACACCAATCCCAAGAGGCCTGGTTACAAACAATGGAATTGAACCTGCTGGAGCCTCATCCCCACAAACCAACTGAAGAGTCTGTGCAAAGAACAAGGTAGGGGAGAAACCGCAGGGCAAGACCCACAAGGCTGGTGGGCAGCCACGGAAAGATCGAGGGGCCTTCCTGAAGCCTCACCCCCAACTGGTCAAACACCTTTTTTCAAACATCCATTACCAAAATGGGAGCCTACTTTGACCTGACAGGAAATATGTGAACATTATCTGGGTTGACCCCACCGAATCTTCTATCTCCTAGGACACATGATAAAATAAATGGTTTTACCCATCAAACGGGAGAATTTTGTTGTAGGGGCTTCGTTTGGTTAAACAAAGAAACCGTGCAACGCTTTCATGTCCCGGCAGCTGGATGAGAAGGGAGCCTTTTCCTGTAGTCAGTGGCTCTCCAACTGGGGTTTGTGACCAGCAGTGGCAGCAGCAGCTGCGTCTGGGAACCGATTACCTGTCAACAGATGCTGTGCAGTCAGCCTGGACTCCTGGTGACCATGGCACAGGTGGCCCCTGGTGCGCCACAGGGCGTTCCATAGCTAGTTAGTTTGCAGTTGTTCATCGGGCTTTCCTTTCTCTGAGCCTCCTCCAACCGTTGGGCTCACAGCAAACACCACCAAGGGACTCCGGAAACCTGTTCCAAAGGCATGCTCTCAAGTCTCACCCCAAAAGAAACCGGTCGCCAAGTTCGCGCATGCCAGCACGTGGCGACCCCATGCGCTTTTGAGTGGAACTGCACACCGTAGTTTTTTCCTGGCTGGATTTTCGGCAACCCTGGTTAAGGTCGCTGAGTTGGAATCTATTGGAGGGCAGTGGATTTGAGGTTCGGTTTAATCTTTTGGAAGGAAAATGCCTGGCCTTTCTTCTGGGGTACCACAGAGTGGATTTCAACCGCCAACTTTTGGGGATTGGTAGCTAAGTGCTTAGCCAATCACACCACCAGGGTCTCCAAGCCTTTCCCCACGACTTCGTGAATCAGACATTAGAGGATTGAGGCCCAGCAGTGTCCCTCTCGGTACACTGGGGGATGCACCTGGGTAAGAACCATCTGGGGAGGTGTGGCCTGGCAGA